AAAATATGTAAATATGTAATAAACATGTCCTCCCCATCCTATTACCTTCAAGGGTGGCTGATATAATAAACCCTTCTCTCATCTCCTATATACAGTTTGTTATATTGACAAATACTGAAATATAATAATAATAATAATAGCAAATTAAACCTTTTGTTAATTCATTCAGCAAATACTCATGTACTGTTACATGAGCCAAAACCTTCGCAATACTATTTTATTTGCTCTCCTTCCAGCTCGTGGTGACCACACTGAGCACACAGTGAAATCATTTAACCTGAAGTGACTCTTTGTGGCGTAACAGTGACATTTATAAATATTTCCTTGAGTTCATGGACCCCTGTTGTTTGCTGCTTATTCCATTATCGTTATTATTTTGAAATATGGTTTATTTAGTAGCGCTTCTGCTTCTCTGAGGAGGAATATCTTAATTTCTAAAACATCTAAACACCAGTTAAGTTATGTTTAAAGAAAACAAGCATCGAGACTGATAATGGGTCTGAATATGGAAACATTGGGGTAAATACAAATGTTTCTGAGTCCTTACTGGAGACCACAGGGGAAGCTTGGCAGATGAAAAATGAATCAAAAAACTCAAGGATACAGAGAGCCTGGGAACACTGGGAAGTGAACCAGCAAACAAAACAAAGTGATAGCAGGGGACACCACTGTAAGTCAGATGAGAAACGGCTGGGGAGTAATCATGAGGCCGTACGCCGAGGGAGCACTCGGGTGATGTAGGTCAACAACAGATCTCTTAGTCACACCTAAGAGACGCACAATCCATTTCATGGTTAACCTGTGTACTCACAACCAAATGTCATGATTCATGGATGGATGCACTTTGAGATGCAGATGTTGGACCTGCAGCAGCAGCATCAGAAATTAGGACCAAATTAGGTTAAATTACAACATGAAACTGCTCCCAGTCTTGACCAAAACTAGCAAAAAGTGATTCAATGTTAACCTCAGAGGATTGTGCAACATAACAGGTTTCACACTGACAGTCAATTCTAGTTTAGAGTAAGTCACAGCTGTTTATATAAGATACTTTACCAGTAACTCTTGTCAACGACAGGAACAGGTAAACAATGTGTACATCCACTTTGGGCAGACAGTAAGAGACATACACAGTCTGGTAGGTGGAGCAGCTGAAGTTCCTGGTGCTGAGACAGGACAAGAGGTGCTTGGTGATGGATTTCAGCAGCGGTTTCATGTTGACCTCCATCCACATCTTGACCAGATCTTGATTCAAACTCCAGACCTCAAGGGCCGATGTCCTGCAGGTTTTAGATGTGTCCTTGATCCAATACAGCTGATTCAAATGGCTAAATTACCTCCTCAACATGTCTTGAAGTTCTCAAAGATCTGGTAATGAACTAATCATTTGATTCAGGTGTGTTGACCCAGGGTGATATGTAAAACCTTCAGGACACCGGCCCTCGAGGCCTGGAGTTCGACACCCTGCTGTAGAGGGACTGCTGCCAAGTCTAATTCCCTCCACACTCAACACTGTCCCGACAGTCATGCTTGACGTCTGTGGCAGCAGTGAAGGAGAGGCTTTATAGCATGAATTCATGTGTTTCACCAAAAAGCTAATCAGCATTCATATGGTTACATATAACCTAATGTTTAGAGCAGTAAGTTAGCATATCATGGGATGGAAAATATCCATGTTGTGACAAAAGAAGGAGCAGAAAAACTCATTCTATCCCTCACTGGTCTTCTGAAGAAAGCTTGTTGAATTCATACCATAAATGATGCACGTGTCTGTTGTGTTCAAGAAAAACGAGTTCAAGATAGCATCTGGGACCTTCGAATTTATGACAAGTGGAAAAGTTAAATGGGAAGAAAAAAAGAAACTTACAGGAGAGCTGAACATGACCTGAAAGCAATGTGTTAATTAAACCTAACATCTGACTGTGATTCATCAAATAGATAGCCCAATGCCTCCCAAACAGCCATGAATATCAATAGCCACGTTCTTTTCATAAGTAGCTAGAGATGTAATACGATACACTGAAAACAGACAATGTGCATAAACAAACCGTCAACTTCAAGAGGAGCAATAAGACTTGTTATACACCAGCGAGTGTGAGTTAGTATTGTTTTTGTTGAAGTGCACAAGAATGTGTCACTCACAGATGAACTGACAGATTTGTGAGGCTGTCTAAAGGTTCTCACATGTCCTTAATAATGAACTAATGTTAGTTCAGGTGAGTAAAAAGTGTTGGCAGTAAGAGGCAGCGCCACCACTCGCCGTTAATTCACCGGCTTAAATTAGTACATCTGGACATCACGTTGTAATAAGAACCTGGTGCGTGACATCAAAAATAGTTCAGGGTTGCATTGCGTGTGTGAAAATGGCTTGATTATAGTGAGCCCAAAAAGGTAATGGAGATGTCTCCATTACCGGGATTTCTTCTCCTTTTTCATATTGTGAAATAACTCTGACTTATGTTCTCACTGTACCCGTCAGACGCCATGTTTCCTGAATCCTCTTACCGCTGATAAAACCTGTATTCATTTCTCTTTTCAGCCAGAGCAGCAAACCAGTTTAACTGGATCTGCGTGTGCATGCCATGCTGTGTACGAGGCAAATGAAGCCTCTCAAAACCCAAAATAACTTGTTTTCAAAATGATTGGACGCAGCATTTACTGTAGATATCTTGATTTTACAGAGCGAACGACAAAAGTTACTAAATGTACAGAGGAAAGCCTGAAGACAGACAAAATCTCTTTTTCATCATTGAGAAAAAGTCAGCCTTTATTTTGGTGTCTACACCAAATTGCAAAGAAATCCAAAAAACAAAGTGGAAGTGCAACCTGCTATTCAGAAATAACTTTATGCTGTATGTCTCTTGCCCCACTTTATACACACATTCACACACAAAGCAGCAGATTCCTTGCCATCATCTACATAAAAGCTCTGATTACAATATGATACACTCCTACAAAAAAAGAAAAAGGGCCAGCCCTCTTGAGCAACAGGTAGGATTCAGCCATCATCACCGGTGTCACAGTCACAAGGGAACACACCCTTCAGTCGTGCGCCGGTGCCTCCAGTGTCAGAAGACAGTGTTTAACAGAGGCGATTTACAAGACCTGAACAACTCTACCTACAGACGTGATCTGGTAAGAAATCTGGCTTTGATTTGATTTGCTGTTATATCATTTTAAGTTCCTACTCAGCCCTGAAACTCCATCAAAAGGACATATTGCTCATTTTAAAGCTTATCACAGACTTAACTTAACTCATAGATCTACTTCTATTCAAGAGATGTTTAATCACTGCTGCATGTAGGCTTGTTATTCAGTAGCAAACAGGCGCAGATAAAGCAGAAAATCCCTTCAGCTCATAATAATTTGGTCTTTCTTGCCCTGCGAGGGTTTACCTCCAGTGACAACGCGCTATTTGGGGATTTCATGCATGGGAATAACAGCTACCTTATTAAACTGAGTCTTCAGGTTGGTGTGTTATCCTCGAAGAAATGGCATCACTGTGCTCTTTACAGTGGTACCAATAAAAAAAATATGACTTTCTAAAGGAGATCAAAATATTTTACGCTTGTTCATAAGAAAATATACTGCATTGAAAAATCTTTAAACACAGAAGCAGGAAAATATTAAAGTGCATACAGCAAATGGTACAAGTTATTACACGTCTATAAGTAAAGCATAAAAATAAAGTACTTCTTATATTTACTTATTTTTACTCGAACATAAAAGCAGTCTTAGCGAGGATGGCGTGTTTTATTGTTTCACGTTTTCTTATTCTCTATTTTATCCTGCATAAACTGACAGTTCAGATGACTGCCAGTAACAACGCAGTACTATTTACTTTATATATCTCAAGCTAACATTTAGAAAAACAACAACTCTGAAATGTCATTTTTTATATATATATTACATGGGTTTATTTTGAAATGTTTAAAATGCTGTGTAACCAGCATTAAAAGTACTAAAGTTTTCCAACATGTTCACACCTCTTCTCTTAATCTCTGTCTTTGAAAATGGCAACCAAAGTGTCTCAGTGGTGTTGGTCTTTCATCCGGCAGGCGTACAAAGGGCCGAGGAGGAGGAGGACTGATACTGAGCAAACATTTAAACCTTAAATAATTATTT